GTACATCGGCGCGTTATTCTCAAGTCACTCAACATCGCGTTAATGTATTCATTCCTGGCGATGTTTCCTTTCCGCCGATCGCATCAGGTCCGAACGGGGCCGAGAGCTACACTATGACCACAGCCGTCAATGTCCGGGACTTCACTGGTTTTCGTATGCGAATTTCGGCCATTTATCAACGCCTTTTAGCTTTGCCGAAGCCGCACTATGATATAGGGCCACGATTGAGCACAACTGCTACCGCTCAGCCAGATGGCGCCGGTTACCTGCGCAATTTACTGACCCCTGAGAATGCAATTTAACAGCGTCACGCATAGCTGCGAAGGATTCAGAATCACACCAGTGGTTGATCATAAGCTCTAGACCTAGTCCATTTCGACAAGGAGATCGCCACTTACACTTAAGGAAATTTTTTTCTCTATAATACTGACCAGCAAAGGAGCAGACAGCCGGTTGGTCTTCTTGTCAGCTAAGGGATATCGGTCTACTGAGCCTTGTGTAGCGTTATCTGGGTTTACACCAGACGTGAGCGAAGTTGGGCGCAGTGACAAGTGGCTGTGTTTTGCAACCTGCGGTCAGGGGTTCATATCGCGACTCGGCTCCCGCCCGGGCCAAGCAGGCTTTCCATTATTCCGGAGACGGTAATTTGGTGCCGGACTTGTCTGGGGTAATAAAAACCCTGACAAGTCCGGCCCCAATGCCAACTAGTATATCGGCTGGCCCCGCAACTCTTTGTATGGTCCATATCGCATCCGAAATTTTGAAAGTAACTAGAATGCGTGGCGCATCCAGAAATGGGACTGATTAACAGTGAGACCAGGATATAGCGTGAAGGACATTTCTCCAAAGACCATTTGACTTTCATATCATTCCGAAGGACCAAAGTGGTGTCTTGAGAGGTCTATAAACATGACACGCCATGGCTGCTGGGAGAATTCCTTACCGGTACCCATCCCACTAAGGCTTTTTAGGACGGGGCGAAGAGTGTGTGAGGGAGTCATAAACCCACTTATAAGATAGAGAAAAGTCGATCGTGCTAAGAAAATGGGGTATATAGACCACAGGGCACATGGGTTGGGGATTTTGGTCGAGTCCGTACGACCCGCCCTCTCCCCCCCCCTGGTTCCCTCCTCATGGACATGTGAAACGGGAAAAACCGCGAGTAAAATACGACCCCTATCTCCACCATCTCTTAGATTTTCCCCAACTTCCTACCACCTTTTCCGGAACTCCGGAATTCCTTGAAAATTTTCCTGCTCTCACCCAGACATTTTGCTGTCGAGTGGGGAGTGGGGAAAGGGGAGCGGGGTATGAAGTGCACACGAAATAGGAAAAACCGCGAAAAGACAGCAACGTCTCACAGAGCGTCAGAAAGAACAAACGCTCCCCCCCCTCTATCAGCGACCAAAAGACCAATAGGACCCCCTCCCCCTGTTGGGGAATCCACAACAACGATGTGCCCTTATAGGGCACCTGATAAGGTAAAAACTAATTGTGCAGAGAGCAAGGCTAATATGGCCCCTCTTTCCCTCGAAACTAAGATACGATCCTTCAGCTGCCTCTGGAGAATATTGAGCACACGGCGTGCCCCACACCGGAGTTCCCTGCTCCCTGATCACTCTAGAACCACTTGCATTGGTTGGACCATTACCTCTAGTAAGGTTGTAAGGTAATGCGGAGACCTTGTCTTACCAGTACAAGGGTGGGGAGCAGCCTGCTTACTGACCTTTCTTTCGGTATTTTCACCTTCAAATTGTTGACTTTTAAGTTCTTGGGTGCCTCTCATTGTCGGAATAGAGCCATCGTCGGGAACCTCGGAGAATGCTCATATAGGGGATAAATAAATGTCAATTCTGTAGAGATTTTCGTGACAATACAAAGAATGGCAGTCAAAAAAGCTTTGCAGACGGTGACTGAAGTTCCGCTGAAGTTGTTAGTTAAGCGTTCCTGTTCCCTAAGAAATCTTGTGTTGTAGTATTAGTAGTAATAGTGGTATTGTAGCATTTCTAGTATTTTATGTGGCCGAAAACCCATCAAATACCTCCGAAACGTTTCAGATCCACCCGACCGGCCACAAGTTTCAATGCTGAACGGTGATTCATACGTGCGAGCAGGTGATAATGTGACATTGGCATGCGTAGCAGTGGGTGGTAATCCACCACCCGATGTCTCATGGTATCTCAAAGATCGTCTCCTGAGTTCGCGATATCACTACGATCTCCAGTCACAGGTAAAAGCATATTGCGTTTTGGCCGAGGCTCAAAACCACCACATGTGGTCTGAGTAGCCCATTCGCAAAGGGTCCAATATTAGGCCGTTTCCACGTTACACTACGTTCCACCTGCTAACGCCCCCCCCCCCCCCCCCCCCCCCCCCCCCCCCCCCCCTGCCAATCACTGGTGTTGCCTTCGACCCCTCATTATTTTGTGCGCTCGCTGTTCAGCAAAAAACAGTCATTCATATTGGTTTTAGCGCAATATCAGTGGCCTTATTCTACTGACATTTGGGATGTGTCATTCGTTCCCAGATAGGCTGAAGAAGGTGACGATGGAGGGACTTCTTTCTGAAGTCTCAGTTTCATAGTAAGATATTGAAAGTTTGAAAGAGGAAAACAAGCCCCGTGCCAGTTATTGTTTTTATTTCATCTTGCACGGCGTGATAACTTTAACGTGAGCTTTTAGAACCAGGTGGATTCTTCGCAAGTTTTTTGTTGTTTTGTTCTGTTTTCTCTTCGGAGCGGTGGAATAATCATGACTTAAGTCCGTACTGGAGGAAGTCGCATATTTGTACGAGCTCCCTCAGACTTGTATTGTCCTTGAAACAGGTAGTGAATACAGGACACATCATCGTTCGGATTTCCCCAACAGGGTGCGGTCGTATTCGGTCGCTGGGGAGAGGGGGGTTGTATCAAGTCTAAAAAATTTTTTTTCAATGTTTTCGATTTAGTTGTCGTTTTCGGCACTATTGAACTATTCCTACCCCAGAACACTCAAAAAATTTTTTCGCTGAAACGTTGCCTATAGATGTAATTCGATGCGCTGATCACGAAAATAACATCCGTTTCGAGCGCTGGCGTCATTGGACCCCCATTATGCGCCAATTTGGCGCCCACCACTTTTTCACCAAATTATTTTGATGCAAAACTTGCATATGGGGGTTAATCTGAGCGTCCTTGATTTCGGAATCTGACGATTCATTTTCGGCGACCGCTGCCGCCATTTTGGGCGTCAATCACGGCGTCATAATTTTTGCCGCCTATATCTTGCGCGCATAGTAGGACCCCAGTGGCGCCAGCGCTTGAAACCAGTGTGATATTCGTAATCAGGACCTCAATTAACCCCCATATGCAAGTTTTCATCAACTTTGGTGAAAAAAGTGGTGGGCGCCAAATTGGCGCATAATGGCGCCAAATGACGCCAGCGCTCGAAACGTTATATTCGTGATCAGCGCATCGAATTACATCTATATACAACGTATTCAGAGAAAAAATTTTTTTGAGCGTTCTGGCGGTAGGAATAGTTCATAGCCGCGGCATTTTTCTTGTTTACCACGTGCGCTAGAAGTGGTGGGGTCGTAATTGCTCGTTGTTGGAAGAGCGGGAGAAGGAGTTCGTATTTGCCTTCTGAGAGAAAGAGCAAATCGTTGGGGAAGTTTTTCCCTGTTGTTGACTTTCGTGCGATTTTTCCTGTTTCACATAGTCCCCCCCCCTCCTCGCTCGACAGCAAAACTTTGGGGAAGAGTAGAAAAATTTTCGGAGTTTTCCGAAAAACTGAAAAAGTAGTAGGAAATTGGGAAAATCTAAGAGGGTGGGATGGTTGAGAGGACCGTATTTTCCTCGCGGTTTTTCCCTTTTTTTTATGTGCCATATATACCCTCTACGCTTGACCTAGGAGGGGTATTATCAAGCCACTTTTTAGAGGGGAATGGGGTTGTACGGACTTGACCAAAACTAGTGGTTTGCTCTAGGTAAATATGAAAACTCATCTGACGATTGAAAATTCTGTTAGTGGGATTCATCTGACGTTGGAAGTTCTGTTAATGGGATCCAAATAAGGCCTGATAGATGTTAATTAGCTTGCCTGTGTTGAAAAAATTGGGATCGTCGAAAAGTCTTCAAATGGAGTCCATGAGCTGGACGAAAATGAATAAAAGCACGGAACTGCTGCGTGGGTGATAGAGCAGGAACAAATGTGAGATGGTAGAGAAAAAGGTAAGACCGCAGTCATGGGTCCCACACGGGTGTGAATGCAGTACCATTCAGGTCTGTTAATACAAGTAAAGGACAACTACCATACCTAAGCTCATGTGGGATATGAAAATTTCTACGAGTGGGTTTCCTCC